TATAATCTCCAAAATAAAAATCTCATTATTGTTGATAATACTAACCGATGAAACGTTATTCCATGATTTCGAGCTGCTGCTGTTATGCCACAAGCTCTACAGTATACCATTTTGATTGTTTATTTCCATACACAGTTGCATAAAAGACTATACACTGCATATTAATGCGTACGGTGTACGGTATGCCGCTTGCCGCTATGCTCGAGCATTCCCTCTCACTTTCAAAAAGTGGTCGCTCAAGATGGCTGCCATGACGTACATCCGTCCGCGGATTTACCTAGTCCTGGCTAGTATATGCTTCCTCCTGTTTCTTTTTACTCAATGGATTTGCCCGGATAGGCGCGCATCCGCGACCTAACGAGCGTAAAAACAGTGGCGTGCGCACTGGTGTACTTTTGGCAGGCTCCAGTTTAAATGACGGACTTCACACAGGTTGCACCAATGCTGCCAGATTGAAGAGCCGGACAATAAGCTACTTGCACAGGACAGGAGGCTGATATATGAATAAGTAAAGGTGATATTATAATACCAAAATAGTAGTGCAATATTAGTGATATTAATGCAATATGGAGATAATAAGAAAAAAAGAGCTGTTAAAAAACGAACAATAAGAAATTTTAATTTATCATGTAAATAGAAAACACCTATTAATTTTTTGAAACTTTTACATATATTTTTGGGAGCAGCTTTTGGAGGGAGTCGTATAAACCTTCTTTCACTCGATATTATACTTCAGTGAGACAGCATTAGGCTGCGCATGCGCGTCCATCCGAGCACGTCTGAGAGCACTGACTGCGCATTGATCATATTTGCACTGATCCATGCTTGTAGATATGTGCGTTTATTTCGAAATTTTTTTAAATACCTGTGATTTGCGTCAATTTAATCTATTATATTTGTAACGTGTTGCATTTATAATGAATAAAAGTAATTTTGATATTTTTGTGGGTGGCACATCGGGGATTTTTAAAGGTAATTTTACCTTAAACATTATAGGTTATATATATAACCTATATTAAGAAATATCTAAATAAATTGTTGATCTATCAAAATATTTCTGTTTATCTGTACAAAAATATAATTTGTAGGAATACAAGTCGGAAAGAAGGGACAAATAGTTAAAAATATACAGGACTTGGCTTCTATCACAAAAAACGATCAGGTGACTATTATTGAATGGGGCAATGACAAGGAAGAGGATATTTTAATCGCATGTGGTTTAAAAGAAAACAGAAGGTGATTTATAATAAATTATTTTTGTAGCAAAAAGAATCCTCTTTACTTTTATTTCTCTGTGAGATAAAATTTCGTCGTCATTGATTCTTTGCAGAGTAAAAGTGTATGATTCTAACCACCTTGTGTTTACAAGGTCCTTTCCTTGTGATGTAGGTAAAGGCAGCATCAAAGGATTATCACGATGTGAAGGGTAAAGTAAATTAAAAATAAAATAGAATGTTTTACATGTTAATGCTCACTGATATTTAATAATAATAATACAGTATATGATTTTGTTAGATCAATTTTAACTGCTGTCGAATCTGGAGAAGTGAGCTTATGGACTTCTGACAAAATAGAAGTGCCAATAATAAATGCTGGAAACAATTTGGAAAAGATGCGTTACTCACATACGGGAAAGAACATAATAACTGGAGGATTGGAAAATAGACTAAAAGTATTTGACCTAGAAAAGCAGAGTTTAATATTCACCGAGAAAGATCTTCCACATGATGCACTGCAGTTAAGATTACCCATTTGTATAACGGACTTGAATCTTTTACCAGGAACTCAAACGATAGCAACAGTCAGCAAATATGGATATGTAAGGAGTACAAACTTTTTATAAAACTAGTCTCATATCTGTTATCTATAATTGTATAAATTATTCATTATTAATGTGTTAATAATTTCATCAAGATACGCCTGTACGATTCACGTGCACAAAGACGTCCTGTAATAAATATGCAGATTCAAGATAAATCTTGGAGCTGTTTAAGTGTCACATCCAAAGACAAGTAAGATTTACATATTACATAATTTCATAAATCTTTGCGTACTTTTCTACAAGCTTTATTACAGAAATGTGAACAGAAGAAATTTCAATTTTTTCCAATAATCTCTTCCCATTGTTTCACTAGTTGATCTATTAAAGAACACAATATATTTTAAATTTAAGACGACTTTGAAAACGCAAAAATTACCCAATATATATTTCTATTTCTTTTATAATATTGCGTCAAATAATTGTATTTATGTGTATTATAGACATATCTTAGTGGGATCGACTATAGGTACTATGAATCTTGTTGATTTAAGAAAATGTGGTTTCTTATTAAAAACTTATAAAGGATTCACTGGTGCTGTAACTGGGATAACTTGTAGTACGAGTAATCCATACATTGCAAGCGTTAGCCTTGATAGACATTTACGGATACATCATATGGACACAAAAGCACTTTTGAAACAGGTAATTTCTGCTTTCTCGTTTCCTAAAGTATAACAAAGTATTTGGACATAAATTTGGATATTAATCTATATTTTATTTTATATTACAGATTTATTTAACATCGAACTTAACGTGTATAGTAATGAAATCAGATTTTTCTTTTTAAAATAACTTTAATAACGAAAAAACGTTAATGTAATTTTTATTTTTTTGAAATAAAGTATTTCAAAATGCATTAAAAATAAACAATTTTTTGAATTTTTCTATATAAAGTTTAAAATTATAAATGTCTTACAATGTGTAGTTGAGAGAGAGAGAGAGAGAGAGAGAGAGAGAGAGAGAGAGAGAGAGAGAGAGAGAGAGAGAGAGGAGGAGGAGGGGAGAAAGAGAAAATTTGATTATTTTATCACTCTAACAAGATAAGGGTGAGCAAAGGCTGATACTATAAATTCAGAATATGATTCCGGACATTCAAAATTTGCATAATATATCGTCGAATAACATCCTAGAAATGTCAAAATTAATTTCTTTTTATTACTATTCAAGTAAATTACTTAACAGTAAAGTTCCTACTATTATGATTCTCAATTGTCTCTTGCCGCCGTTAATCTACATTTACGAATGTATATTGTAAATTGATTTTAGTTCCCTATAAATTAAATTTTTTTATATTTGTATTTAATATTAGATTAGGTTAGACTTTATAACAGTAAGATTATACTAGATTAGTATTTTCTCTCGATATTATAAAAAATTACGCATACTTTATTTAAAATGCATTACTTCTGCTATACTTACGTAGAAGATCCATTCTTGCGACCAGATGTGATTTATTCCATGAATGAACAAAATGATTTATTCCATAAATTAATGTTTTTACGACTCGAGAGGAAAATTCCAACATCAAGTGTCTACCATAAAGAAATTTTAAATACAAAAATAAAATAAAATATTTCTATAGCGTGTTTTGTCGGCACGCAAAAGTTATCTTGTTTAAACTTACGAGAAGACAATAAAGGTCGGTAAAGGAACAGGAGCAATGTATCAATATTGGTTTCCAGTGATTATGCGTGATATATAAGTATTAGATTGATTATTTATATTTTACAGTTTATTTATCAATAATACCTCATCGATAGTTCGTATTTTGGTTCTTAGATGTAGCGCGCACAGAGTTCAATCGCTTATTTCTTTTTGACTCATTTCTCTAATATTATGTAGAATGAAGAGGAGCTAAATATTTTCTCTGACAATTTGTCTACTGTGCTCTCAACAAGTAACAAGTTGTGTCGAAGCCAAGTATATACGCTGCGTAGCTTTCAGCGTATAATCTTTAGTATATCTTTAAGTAGAAGAAGGTGAACACGTGGCGATCCGCAGGATCGCACGCATTTTGTACTAAAAAAAGAAACAACGCTTGCGACTACAGCACATTAAACATTGCTTCTCAGCTGTACAAAAATCTTTGTCCGCACTACGCCTCTCGTAATTAATACTAGTGTATTTTTTTTAGCTTTGTTTTATTCCGCTCTCTTACATCTCAAATAGAATATTTATACGCGTATTCCAATGTAAACATGTCTAGGAATACATTTACTACATTTACAGGCACTATCCCCTTCAAAATCGAGTAACTACCATTACCCGCATTTCTACGTGAAAAAAAAAGAGTTAAAGATTTGCGTCTCACGTATCCTAATAGAAAGACAACTCGTGTAATTCCAAATAAAACCTTTCCGGGCGATACTCGTCTTCCGCTTGGTTGCATCAAATCAAGAACCGTTTCAATAAAATGTTGCTCGATGAATCAATTCTCTACAGGAATGCTTCTCTCAATTCATTAAAGAATCCTTTTTTTTCGTCACGTATAAAATGTGATTCCATACAAATTTCAGCAAAATTTCTTTGCAATAATATGATTTACATTTTCCTCATGATATGACATGAGTAATAATTACAATTGGATTTATACAGGGCTTTGTTTGCTACTTTTGCTTATAGAGAGAATAATTCGACATTTGTTAATAAAGATTAAGATTAATGTCATATATCGCGTTAATAAACAAAGTAATTGATAAATCGGTTGGAGAATGCATCTTTTCGATAAATCATCAGTACTCTTAATTAAGATTGTTCGATATAATTACAAAAGCTTATTTCTCAGTATTTTGAATGATATATCAGTCGTATCGTGTCAGCAATGATTATATAATATATAGAGTTTGGTCAAATATCACAATAAAATTCGAGTATTCTTACATACTTCGATCTTTTCAGTTTTAAATTGTTATTTATAGACATAAATATCACATAAGAATTTTCTGCTATTAAATATGCTTAATCCAATCATATCTTTTTTTTTTTTTTGTAAACACTTAACGAAAGTATAATAATTAATAACGTCAATCCTGTTATAACTGATTTCCAATATTCGAAAAATATAAAAATTTTCTATTACATTCGTTCTATAGTTCAATGATGTAATAATTTTAACCTAAAATTCAAACATTGCAATATTTGTAAAGCAATCGATCTATTTCTTGACATTTCTCTATCGGCTTTGATGATACATCGAAAATAAAATATCAAAAAGGACTTTTAAAAGTCAACTCGAATTGATTTATATCTGGTTTAGCAATGTATTAACATTCCAGATTGATATACTGATTATATATACTGAATGACTGCATAATCGAAAATTATATCTGTAAACTTAAAAGCACCATGTCTATTTAAAAGTGCATGTATACATGAGTATGTATACAATGATCTATTTGTTATGCAAGATCAATAATCAATGATCAAGTCCATTTTAGACAATCTATAAACCGCGACGAAATTCAAATTACAAATTTACTTATATTTTTACGCGGCGTATAGCAAAACATTTAAAGACTCAGAATACATACATAGAAAAAGGATAGCGGTAAAAAGTATCTTTTACATGTACTCTGATTCTTTAAGTATTTTCTTTGTATTATATAACGCATAAAAAGATAAATACATTTCCATCTTGAATTTTGTCATAAATTTTTCATCGTCTAAAATAGACTTTACATATTTCTATATGGAAATTAATAAAAGAAAAAAAGGGATTTTTACAAATGAGTATATAAGATGTCAAAGAGACATTTATTTAAATCGGCAACAGATATTACGATAAAAAAAAACACGGAGCACTCCCCGAGAACTCGAATGTACAAGGACAGGTCCGTCTTTATCGATTGTGGAATACTCTTTTCGATAGCTCTGATGTCTTTTCAATCTTAACACATCGTACTTAGATCGAAATGAATATCTAGTCTCTCTTTACAAAAAAAGTGAAACAAAACACAATCTGCATAAAGAATGACAATCACGATTACGTGTTGGGTTGATTTAATCTCCAAGATTTGCTGTACCTCGAAAATTTGTTCTTTCGAAACGCTTTATCTTCCCAGTGCTCGATTGTAGAAGGGCGGGGAGAATCATACTCTGAGCAAATCATGGCGCAGCTACTTTATCGTCCCTGGCAAAAAGCTCGAACGTCTAAATGTGTAGCATGTCTGTGTAGCATTTGTACCATAAAAAATTAAGCTTAAGTGATTTTATACACTATACAGAGCATCGTGTTTTCATTCTATCATCATCGCGTCCAGCAAATCCTTCCGTTAACTATTACGTCGCGTCCAATTGTTTTCAACGGATACTTGCACGGGTATGTCTTGTTGCGGCACGAAATCACCGATCAACTGTACTCGCGGGGAAAAGCGCGAGCAATAAGAAAAGATGTACGAATATACGCAGTCGTTATGTGATTTTATCCGCCGCTGCGGTTGAAGCAGCGCCGATTCAGTTTGGGAACTAACGTGCGTGGCGGCACGTGAAAACGTCAGCGTCTCATTCCCCACCCGAGACACCCGTAACACAAATGTTTAGCACGTCCCGCCACGTTGTTTCCTGAGTTTGATTCACTAACGTTGTCGACTGAGGATCCGAGACCTCCGACGTAACCGGGGTTAGCGGTGGACTAGGTGTCGCGGGCGCTTCCTCGGACTGATTGTGTTCCGTCGTCGATGTCGCCGTTGTCTCCGCAGCGTCCTGCTCGACTTCACCGTCGGCGAGCGACGTTTCCGACTGTGTGGAGCTGGGAGCCTTCAATAGGAGAGAATCTTGTGCACGCAACGATATAGAACTACCTTTATTGCTATTGCCATCCTCACCTAAAATCAACGTGCAGTAAATATCAATCCACAAGACAAGAAATTTGGTTCTCGAATGTTGAAGCAAAAATTAACTCTTAAATATATTTGTTTGATATCCAATATAGGTAATATTTTTCAAGTTAACACAAGTTGGCACGAAAGTGCAGAAAATTAAGTCCAATGTTTAATTTATTAAAGGTCAATGTAAATACTTTGTTGTAAATTTACACATCTATTTTAGTTTAGTTACTTTCAATACCGGGAAAAAAATTAATTAAAATATTATATATATTATTTATATGGTAAATCGTGATATAAAAAAATAGAGAACAAAATTTCCTAATATAATATTCTTTGAAGATTATTGTGCGAATAGAGTATATTGCATTGTACAAGTAATTTCGAATTTTTTAAATAAATTTACTTTTTTTCCGGGTAAAGTATAGTTTGATTAACGCGTAAATTAAATATTTCTTTGTCAAATTTTGCCCGTATCATGATTTTTTTAAGCGTGCTACGTAAAAAAATAATAACACCATCTACTGGAAAATTATTTATTACACAACCCAATAATTATTATCATCATAAACAGTTATAACTTGATATTTGCTTTATGAAAAATGTTAAAAAATATTAGACTCACCACAAGGCCTAAGAACGAGGTAGAAGAGCAGATCAGAGAGGGATATTATTCCGATCACCTTATCATCATCATCAATCACTACTAGCCTATGAACCTGAAATACGCGGAAGAAAAAGATAAATCTTGTCTTTTAATTCTAGCATTTCATCGAGAAGAAAAATTATGCTCGATTTGAAGAAACACTTTCGTACCTCCGCTCTGACAATCCTTTCCATTACAGTGAACAATGTTTCGTCTAATTTGCAACTCTGTACGCCTTCGAACCATTCATTGCGATGCTCGTTTGCTTCACGCAGTGAAACATCCAAGTTATTGTACGTTTTTTCCGCAGCTAAGTTCTGCAAAAGTGACACATTTAAGTGAAGTGTGCAAATGTGTTTCACTTAACCTCTTACGAATGATGTAGAAAGAATATGTCTTACAATAACGTCAAACTTTGAATAAATGTTCACTAATTTTCCCTCGGAGTCGACAATCGGTAATGCCGAAACTCTCCTCTCCACAAATTTCTTCAGCGCTAAAATTATGCTAGTTTCTTCCGTGGCCGTTTCGATATTCTCGAAAGTGCCTATCCTCAACTCTCGCAACGTTTTATTGGTGAAAGATGGTTTCGGTAATTCGTGGATCTGTAATTGAAGTATTAAAGTAGATTCGCGTGGCAAAGGAATGCCACAAGGTTCGCAAAAGAAGAAACAACGCGATACTCACGTATAGGAAAAGAAACCTAAGTAGTCGTTTGTGTGTCAAGATGTAAAGGACATTTCCAGTATCAGGATCTATCACAGGCAATCGGTGGATTCTGTTTTGTATCAAGGTCTTGATAGCTTCGTACAGCGACGCGTCTGGCCCGATGCTCACGAGAGGCTGAACTTGATCCTTCAAGACTTCTGAAACCGATCAATTCTCTGAATTAATATAGTTTCTCGATATTGTTCTAAATATAAAGCTTTTATTGTTATATCGTAGTATGATTATTTTACAATCCAAATAAGATAAATGAGCCGAAAGCAACTTACTTCTCCACGTGTCTAATTCATGCTCTTCCAATTCATCCATTGTCACTGACGGACTGGTGTAATACATCTGAAGTATCTTTATGAAATCCGTTATAGTTAACATGCCGACGAATTGTTGCCGAGAACTGTCCCATAATGGCGCGGCTCTCACCCCTAAACATATGTAAGCGGTATGAATAAACATTGCTGTTAATAGAATTACAATAAAATCAAAAAATAAAAACACATTTGAAAAGATGAAAAATTATAGTGCTTACAAGAATTTAATTTTTTTTTTTTTTTTCGTTTTACATAATCTCTCCTTTGACTTTAACTGCAGCTCGCTTGATTCATCGCTTTACAAACTTTTCAATTCCGCCCTCAAAGAAATATTTTGGTTTCATGAGCGGCAATTCTTGTACCGCTTAAATGATATTCTCATCTGAAAAAACTCCTTATCGTTTTTTTTTTAACAAATTAAAAGATATGGAATCTAAAGCTCAAAGTCTTTAAATATTTCTGCTTCGAGATAATGCTCGACTTAATATTTCTTCAGATAAAAATATCATTGTGTAAATGATATAAGAACTGCATACAAAACCAAAATTTGTCTTCCGGAATGAAATTCAAAGACTTGTAAAACGGCGGATTAAGCTGCATTGAAGCTGTAAAAGTAGAAAAGCGACTGAAACAATATTTTCTTGTAAGAAAACAATAAAGTTTCTCCTTTTTCAAAATATTGGATTATGCAATAAGTAATTTCGTATTTTCTAATAATGGCGTTATTGTTTTTTTTATGCATCACGCTTTTACGTGAAAAAAAATCGCAATACTTGGACAAACGAATATTTAATGTTTATCAAACTGTGCGTTGCCCGACAAAAAAGTAGACAGATTTATTTTAAAAAATTCCAAATTATACTTATTACACAATCCAATAACTCTTTACTTTTTCATCGTACACATCTCTCAAAATCAGATGTAGATCAACTCACCATTATAGACGAGAGCGAAGAAGGCCTTTTTAACAAGTAAATGGGTGTCGAAGACGACTAGCTTGGCGCTGGTCGGTATTAGGTCGTAGCATTTGTGAAACTTGAAGAACTTAACGAAAATCTGCGACTCATCCTCCTCTGAAAGCCCAAACAGTTGACAGTAGAGAAGTGCTTTCTGATTTCGACGAAGCATCTTTGAGGCATGCGAAAATCTCATGTGTTCATTAGAATTCACACCGTAGATTTTTACATCAAACGCACATAATTTACATTGTTTCGACATTCGTATATACACTAATCCTCTGATGTGTTAAATGTTTAATTGATTATGGAGTAACACGCAAATTGTCTGTCACTATCACAAATGTCACAAATCTTACACTCTTTTTTTCTCTAAGCGGATTTGAGCAAGCAAAGTCATCCTGTTTATCATTTTACGATTTTGATCGAAATTGGAAAAGTAATTTTATTATTTTTTAGCAAAATTAATTTGCACTTAAAACAAATACTAATATTAAATAATAAGCATGTTAATACGCATCTTCCTATAACATGGATCTCAATGACCCAATTTCGACGAGTTCCCACGAGTTAACGATATTACACAACGCAGTAATGGAACTTGATTGAATGATCGATAAATTGCGATTATAAGCATCTCGGAAGCTCGAATATACATCCGGAGAGTAATAATATTGGGAAATGTTGTCGGTGACCGGACATTAATATATTCTAAAATACACACGATTAATGCAGAAAGTCGCGATATTTTATAAGCGGCGGATCAGAGTTAGTTATTTTCGAGTTTCGTCAGAGTCGATGAGTAATGGAGGAAGATAATAGAAAATTGCATCAGAACAAGTCGCGGAATTATCGTACCATATATGCATTAGTTACGTGATAAAAAAAGGTATTCACGTGATTATGAATTTCTGAGAATTTATTTACGTGCAAAATGGCGATAAAATAAATGTATTCAAATTTATACAAGAATTATTATTATTATTGTATCGTTTTTTAAATATAAAAAAATCCGAAACTGCAAAAATAATATCAATTAACACATCAATATGGAGCGTTTGGCTCCATACTAGAATTTGAAATGCAATCTTACGTAGAGAAATGGGTTTTAATATCAAGCACATTTCCATTGTCGGACGGGAACTTCTTTCACGTATGATTAAAAGACGATGTAATAAAGAAAAATAATAAATATGAATAATCACTCCTTTAACAAAGCAATTTTACATTATTTATATACATTTTTACAAAAAACACTCAGTAATGACTCCAAGATGACTTGGCTGACTCTCGAGGCATAGATGTTAGAACTGATGGGATCCCACGGAGTGAGATTTAACCGTTAGAAAGACCACTGGAACACGACCACGGCACGACTACGAAACGACTAGAAACGACTGGTTGGTGGCGAAGGAGAACGCGGCGAAGTCACGGATAGCTGGCGGCGGACGAAGCGAATTGCACATCGATTCGCGTACGTGCGTGTGCGTCGATGCACTTGCACACAAAAACGCATTTGTGTTGAAGCGCACTAACCGCTCGACAGCTTTCACTACGTGAATATTATAGCGCAGACAGATTACATTACCACGACGACGAGTTTAGAAGAAGAAAACCTATTTTACACCTAGTTTATATTTTCAGAAAATTTCACTGCACTGCAACTATCCCTGAAATTAAATGTTTACCGCGAGCAAATTGAATCGTCAATCCATAGAAGCAAAATAATACAGTGAAATGTCCATTGTTTGAACATTATTCAAGCGAACGTTCGATTATCCGACAGCGTCATTCAAGAATAAACAAGAATAAACATTCTATGTGTGTCAGCTCGCAAGGTACTTTCAATTAAATTGTATCTGGTTTGATTGAAAAATGATGAATGAGTGGCCCAAACTTTTTAGCGATAATGCATGTGTAAAAAGTTTTCATAACGATGTATCTCATGTCAAACATGTATCAGTTATATTCATTGTGTCGCTTTATTTTATAATTATTGTATGCCACGGTTCGCTATGTACAGTTTGATAAAGTTATCTTGATTAGTCGAGCGATGTTAACCGAATCAATATATCGACAGGATGAAAGCACGACGTAAAATTTTATCGAGTAAACCTTATAAAATTAATATTCTTGACAAGACTCGACATGGCCGCGTAGCAATCGTCGTATTGCGGTACCTTTGGAAAGCGTCCAAGCGAGCTCGTCCTCGAGTGGCGGATTCTCCATCTCAAACTCCTTGATGAGGTCCTTCGAGTACACGGGATCATCGTCCTGGCACCACCAGGCAGCCGCGACTTGCCTTAAAGCGGTGCGGACACTTTCGGAATTCGAATAGTAATGCAAGGCCAGCATTATTTAACATCGTTGTGCGTCTGGCGCTGATTAATCGTTTGACAATTAACGAATCCTCGCTTCGAGTACTCGTATGATTCCTGTACTTTTCACTTCGGCAGACTCGCAGTATTTCTTTGACGGTAGCTTTTTGTTCGCAGACAATACGCTACTTGAATTATTCAAGCTTGCTGCGGTTCGCTTAGAACTAGTACAATGTTGATGTCAACTGAAACAGCCGAGCGTTTAATTTATTAATTAACTGCTCGCGACTCTTGTCTCTTTGCCACTAGAATCCTGTTATCACTGCAATCTCGTTTTTCGTGGATTCCGACGTCAAATCTCCATTTTTCTTGGCCCTAACGAGATATCCCGAGAGTCCGTCAGTCTCGTCGCTGGTGTACGCAACGACTGTCTTACTCGATTCGAGTCCAACGTCTCATTCTATCTATCTCCTTCTCGTTTGCTCCTTCGCTAGCTTCCTCGTCGACCATCGTGCCAAGAATAACCGGACCTGATGTGTTTTGCCAAAAGGAAAAGAGCCGAGCACGCGCGCGCGCGCCAAGTTTTACAACGCTTCCTTAAAGCCTTCGCACGTCGGGATGTTTGTTTTTAATTAAAGGCTACGATATGAGAAGGATACGTCCAGGCGAAAGCGATACTCACTACCTCGACAAGTTGAAGCTATACTAGTCGAGAGAGAGAGGTTACGTCCGCCGAATCCGCGATCTAACTACTTTATCCTTGGCCACGAATGCTTTTTATCTTATCTTATCAAACTAATGCATTATGCCGTTCTTTCGGACTTTATTTCCTCGTCGTTCTTTTGAAATTTAAAAGTGAACATTTAAATTCCAGTCAAAATTGTGCTAATAATTATACAAGTGGACTAATAGCAAGTCAAGAATCTTGAAAAATTGAATTTATCACTTATTTTATATTACGTCGATCTACGTTAAATAGTTGAAAATTAAATCGTTTAATAGCATTGGAGTAATTGTGTCGTTAAACAAAATTCAGTTTATATTTATTTTTATAGCGATCTAAGTCACCTTTCTTCTGATAAACTTCTCTTTTATGAAAAAGAAAATACTTATTCTTCCATTATGTCATCAAAATAGCGGTTCAGGCAAAAGTTTCTATAATAATATAAAATGATATTACGAGCAATTTAAAGTTCTCAAGATTTTAGAAATTGGAAATCCTCTTATCGAAAAAAAAGAAGATGAAAACTAAAATATTGGTAAAAATTGAATTAAACATAATTATAATTATAAAGTATAAATAGATATTAATTTTCGACTAAAATTTAATATTTTTTGTTTCAAGTCATTTTTAAGATTTATCATTAATTTTGAAAACAGCCTAAATCAAGTATCACCAAAAAAAACATATTTTCAAGCTAATCGTAAAATTTACAATCACGGAAAAGATTTACATTATAAAAGTAAATATTTTTGAAAATATTCTGTCACATAATGAAAAGAAATATTTTTTAATACATACAAACAAAATACCTCAAAAGAAAAAAAAATATGACTATTGTTAACCCACTTTCGCCGTCACAATTGATGATAATATTTTAAGAATCGCCGAAAAGTGCAATAAAAGTTTTCATATTCAAGTGGTTTACGTGGATAAAATTACGAATTAACAAGATGTAATTTCAACGTTGTAAAAGGATCGACACGAGCCCCACCATGTAACAACTTATCGGAGTTAACAATTTGCCCTATGACCTAGACCCAGATAGAACGTGTGAGCGCGACGTAGAACGCTGTACGAGGGTGAAGCTGTATCGCGAGTCCCTCCCTCTCGCTCTTAGTGCCAGCTGGCCTCCCGGGAACTCATCGATCGCCACCATACACCCGCCAGGACACAGAGTCGGAAGACCTAGTACCACGATTTCAAGGGGAAAGCTGTACGTGGGGGACGCGTGGAGATCCCAGGTTTCTCGCTACTGTTTGAACGCGTATCGCACGTATCGCCACTCTATTGACACGCAAATACTTTGAAAAAATTAATGTCAATTTAAAAAATTATCAATAAACTATTACACGAAAAGTATGTACTATCGCTCAAAAGTTTCATGCATTTAACAATTTTCAAATAATTCAATCTTTTGTTTTCAAAATTCTAATTAAAATAAGGAAAAAGAACCTGAAACGACAAAATAGGCGTTCCCATTCTACGAATGCGTTCATATAAAAGCTTCTTGCATCGTCAAATTAAATTCTCAGAATTTTCATACATTTGTAGACTGTTTGATAATTAAAAGAGATTAAATCCGCAACACGCAGTGGGGGAATTTTCTTTCTTAATACATACACACACACACACACACACGTTGCATCATCCATTTATCTAATATTCCATTTATTTCAACCTTCCAAGATGAAATGTAATACGAATTACTGTAAATATATTGGCACATGTGAGACTATGTTGTCGTTCTTTTAAAAGAATCAACGAAATAAATTTATTTGTCTTGCTGTTACGAGCAACTCCTTTATTCGAGTAAAGCTTTTTACTTATGCAACGAGATTACACAGTAGAATTGTAGAATCGTGCTTTACACGAAAAATACATTCCCTCTTGAGCAAAAGTAATTCCCGGAAGGTCGATTGTGAGGAAGCAAATTTGAAGAAATTGTTGTTAAACAAAACAAAACTCACCAAGATCGGATAGCGAGACTTTCTCCAGGAAAGGATCCACCACTGGCAGCTGCAAAGTAGAGAAAGAAATTAGCGACATTTAATTCCAAATACGATCGCTATAATTATTACATTACGTGCGACTACTAATAATTTCTTTAAAGATTTGCTTAACTCTTAAAGAATGACAAACTGATTTATCGGTTTTATGGAGTTGTATAATAATTTCGGATTTTTCCAATAAATTTGTCTACTTATTTGTTTTTCAGGCAAAGCGCGATTTGATTAATAGGTAAATTAAACATTCAAAATTATAATCAAGCCCATATCACGATTTTCTTAAACATGCGCGTAAAAAAAGAATAACACTATCTATAAGAAAATCCAAAATTACACAATCATACATTGGTGTCAAATTTTTCCCTGCAATATTTGTGATACACAAATTGAAATTCTACATAAGAAAAACTATAAAAATCATGAAAAAATTTCCTCCTTCCAAAGGTAAACCCGGAACTATAATTATTACCGCTAAAAATTACTAAAATTTTTATCAATAGTTTATCTCTTCTTTAATTTCCGGTTTGGAAAATAAATAGCATTAACGTCTCTTCTTCACGCTCCGAACAAGTTGGTCACGGGACACGCGTTTCTCCCGCGTGTTTTGCTCCACGTTTTCGCGATCAAGCGCAACATTTCACGAAGAATGGGACTGCAAATTCTTTGTAAGTGAAACCTATACCAGAGTGCGTTTCAGCAAAGACCTCGGGCTGAAGGTGTGTCGTCTCTTGATTTTTGTGTACCAGTTCGTCAGTACTCCGGAACTTGTGGTTTGCGCCACATCCGAGCTCTTAGCGATACTTCCGGTCGGCTCACTCGTCTGACGTCGGAATAACATCTCGTATCGATTAAAGCCTAGACGGCTATTTTAAAGACGAAGGACACGTCTCGTTCACACTTGAGATACTTGAGTAGCCGTGCGTTCAACGAAAATTCGTCAACAGTATCGCGCGCGTGCGCGCGTCAAGTTAATGAACCCTTTATCAGCCTGATTACGTATCTTTGTTGTTGTTGTTCTTATTACAGTTGTTGTCGTCGTCGTCGTTGTCGTCGTCCTCGTCGTCGTCGTCGTCGTTCGTCGTCACAACGATCTTCATCCGGAATCCACGGAACTCGCGAACTCGACGATGACCAGTACACACAGTTCGACTCTCAGCGTAGCTCGAAAATGGATTTCGCGTCTTCGTGACGATGTTTACATCGCCGTGACGAACGAAGACACGGCGCTAACACATCGCCTAACACTTTCGATACCCGTGAAATGGGACGCGAGCGCGCTATTCGGGATATTCTTGACGGTGGCATAACTCTCGTTGCGAATCGCGGCGAAGTCGCAACCGGCCGAACACACTTGCAGCATGCCAAGAATTCGCGACTGTCAACAGATTGTCGATAGCTGCGTGATTCTCGTCACTAAATGTGCGATAAAAACACAATTATCGGGTGAAATAATTTAATTTGTTCTCGTCATCTATAAATTTATCGAAGAACATCTTGAAACATTGACAAAATCGTAAGAGATTTGTAGATTATTTTACACGCAAAGAGATTAATCTTTGCGAAGCTTGTTAAACTCAGCTAACTAACGAAGAAGTAGAAGTAGCGACGATTAGGTATCTCGCGACATTTGCGTAAGACTGTCAGTAGTTTGAAATTTGTGCTTTAAATTACGACACGCTGATAACGACGGACCTACGATTGCTAAACTTCGGGTATCCGTGCTCTTTAGAAAAATTGTGACACCGACCGGCGTTGGACCGCCGGTTTAGAAAGCGCCTCTTTTCCCTCCCGTGGCTAAACGGTCGTCTTTTCCAACTCGCGTGCGACCGGCTCATTCGATCCGCGCCAAGAATAGTAAGACGATAGATAGCACGACACACACGTAACAAGTGTAATAAACGAACGCGCGATAAAGCATGGAGGCGCCAAGCGAGTCTTTCGCGCTATATTTATCGCATCATCGATAAAAATTCATATTCGGCTAACTAATCGGCAGAGCTGAGTAAAAAGGAAGAGAAAAAAATCAAAGGGTCGGGAATCGAAGGCAACGTCGGCGCGCGAAATCGGTTCACGCCTCGTGATTTTGGTAGAATCTAAAAATACTGTACACGATCCCTGGTGGAAATTCAGCCGAGAGTGGCCTGACTGTCGGATACACAGTAGCCGCTGTTTTTTTATCACTTCCCAAACACATTCGCTAGCTATGTCTTAAATATTAGCTCGTGTAATAAGTAATTTCGGATTTCTTCAGTAAATCTGTCTTCTCTTCGCGTTTGTCAGGCAAAGCGCAGTTTGATTAACACGTTTGTCAACGTGATAATCAAGTTTTGCCTGTATTACGATTTTTCAAACCTGCGCTGAGAGAAAAATGTGTGATATTTGGAATATAGTAAAATAATTATAATCATTTTTATAGAAACATAAAAATTTCACTGTAAATTCTTGTGATTTTAAATATAAATATAGTAAAATAATACGTTTTTTTATATAAAAATCTCGTTTTGAAGCATACAATATGGTTGTTTAAATTAATGCCAACACCATAGCAGTATTGAATTAGCTATAATTGACATAATTAGAATACCTACAAAAATACAGTTGGCACCGAAAAACACTATAAATTATAATAAGATGACACTTACTGCAGCCATTTTTTTTCTTTTAGTATACTGCGTAGAAAACAAAACATCATTTATAATAAAATCCGAAATCACTTATGACACGACCCAATAGTTTTGCACAGTGAAATGTGCTCTTCGTTAAGAGTTAAGCTGGATTAAAGAGACAATTAATTAAACAACGCGTAGGCGTTGTTAAGTGTACGACAAAGTTTCGATACTACAAGTGACGCGTTCGCGAAGCCGCTGTAAAAAGATAAGAGTACTCGTGATAGCGTCACGGGCGCCGACGGCAAAAAGAATACGCGTCCGCGACAACTTGTTGATGAGCCGTCGCGAGAAAGCGAATGGAAAAATAGGCGACACTTCCCGGTCGCTCGTGGAAACGAGTCCAAGAGTCGATCGACGAAGCGGTGCTCGAATACGCCTGGATTGAAATGACACACCTACGCAAAAATTCCGTCATTGCACCGACCTCGCCGAGAAACACCGTGGCGGCTTATTAACGATTCGACGCGACTATCAATTCAACGGGATATCCATCATATGCCGTCGTTCTGTAACATTCGTTAAATATTTCACGCGACAAAACGAGAACTCCAGTGACGAAACATCAGTAGAGGTACACGTTTTGAATTAAAGTGTAAATTGAGATTTATAATATTATGTAATGTTATTCTATATTTAAAACATCAATATACATGCGGAGTCGTCATGTGACTTATTTTTAAATGGAGTTCGTTTCAAGTGCTAACGTAAAAATAACAGAGAAATCCAAATTATATGTACAGTGCGATTTTTGTTTTGTATGCGACATTGCGCGTTTCCTGCATGTATTTCTGTGCTGAATTTAAGAATGTAATCAGCTTTTCTCTGTCACTTTTACACAACTCTCTTGTGTGACTATTGTGGTATTTCGGAATAAGACCCGAGGTGTTCTAAAATTCATGGATATTCTCTTAACATTAGATTTTCTGACCAATTTCAAGTCATCTTTTCGACAATAAAAGTCGTCCATTATTTATCGTCCAATCTTTTCTTTCTGTATTGCTTTATAATTAAATTAAGATCCCATTCAAAAATTTACTTAAAATTAACCTTCCAAAACTTGAAAATAACAAATTGTAGCTCAAATTTGTATTTATTCATCTCAAATTTAGTTTGTAAAAAACTCTTTTTCTTTCGTTTATAATACGAAAATTATCTCTTGCTATCGAGTGTTTCGACGTTTTTATTCAGAAAAAATTAGCTCCAAATTAATCAAAAAATCTGCCAGTAAATTTGTAATTTAGGAATAAACGCGATATCGTATGGGCGTAGTCCGCGCGTGAAATTTTATCTGTTTATCTCGCGTGTAAGCCGCGTCCAATTCACAACTTGTCAACCAAGAGTTTTAGGTAATGGACATCTAAATATAATTCCGAGTGGCAATTGTTTACAAACAACTTAGACATCAACATTCGATGTGCGAGACTACGAAAACTTTCGAATTTTAAGCACGCTTGTTATGCAAATAATCACCTTTTGACTTTTTAATCATATTTTATATAAGCAATTTAGATGCAAAATTCATGTCATCGACAATTTGATAACTTTAAAGCGTAAAAAAAATTTTTTCGTTTGTTTCATTAAATCTTAATTTAATCAATCGTCATTTATTTTAATTTTCGTGTTACCTCTTGACCTCTTACTCTTGACTTACAGAATGCAGTGAAAGACAAAATTACAAAAAACTTTAAAGAATGTAAACTTTACGTCTCGCCTCTCATCGTTCAATTAAAACACTTCATCTTCGTTGCGGTAATTATAACGTAATAAAAATGTTGTATTCGCATGCGATATAAGAAACCTGTTTTCCCCACTTCGCCGACCGAGGCAAAAACATCGAGAATCTTGAAAAAAGAAAAATAAATGCTAGTTATCTCAAGTCATCGCGATTATTTAATACCTTGTTCGTATTATCGAACTTGATCAAAGCGCAAAAACGTGAGCAAAGGTATTAGGTCAGGGTCACGGAAAGATACATTCGTACAATCCGTTGCTTCCTACAACGCTATCGCTGCGTTTTACGCACGATAACAACCGTACGCACGGTTCTCCAGCAATAAAACGTTTAAATCGTTGCGCTCAAGCGTTTAAAAAAAAAAAAAGATTGACAAAATACATGTGTGGCTTGCGATTAAACGTTATCATTACTTTATTATTATCCTAAAATGGCTGCGAAACCATAGCGATCTGTTTCGTAAATCTCTATCGCTTTGAACTTTAACGTGAACACTGACTCGCGAATATCAGTGGCCGTTGACCATCTAATTAATACGCGAAACACGTTCGGAACTATACACAAGTTCGCGAAAATGTCAAATATCCACAAGAAAACCCATTCGCACTCTGACGAAATGGCAGTCAACTGATCACTCGAGATACGCGTAAATCAAGAACTATTGATGCCGAAGTCGGGAATCGATGTAGCGCACGAATTTCCCAAAAACCGACGCAGTTTGCACCACAATCGCACTCTTTTTCACACGAAGAACTTCGCTTGAAATCTTCGGACGAAAACTCGCGTACCAATGCCAGCGTAAACACACGAAAAATGTTACGTCGATGTTTATTCGTAGTACGAACTGGTCGATCGACCTCGAGATCACCGCCGAAGGAGAGACGTCATCGCGAAAGGATGCGGTCGCGATAAGAATGAGAGGAACAACGCGAAGCGATTGACTCGGCCGTCAGCTGCTTCCTCGCTGGTCAACATCGGCTCGGTCGCTCGTGCTCAACTAGATCAGCCGCGTCCAAGCTCTGGCGCGCGACGACGATGGCTTGACAGTGGAGCTTGCGACACGTTTGTGTATGAAATTTACGGCGCATCGTTTATATATGCGCGATCTATACGAGACGCGTCATGAGAGTGTAGTATCTTCATTATTCCGAATGATCAGACTCAGTACATTTTATCTCGTATTTTTACCCTTCGTAGACAAGATAAAATGTAATAGGTATTATTCAAGACTTTATCAAAATTAAAAGAAACGAAGGAAAGAAAATATATCACATAATATGATATCACTTCTTCTAAATACCATCGATCTCTCGAGGTTCGCGCGCGTCTTCAGATCGCGATATCAGCACGCAGTAACTGACGAGTCGTTCAACCACTTCGTACTATAAAAACGTCGATAAGCGTCTAAGTATGTACTTAGTGCATGCAACAGGAAGGTAAAGTAAACGAAGAAGATAGAGAGGAAAAAATCTTAACGCTAAAAAGTTTGATTGTGCCATATCTAAGAAATAATTTAAAAAATATTGATAAATATTATTTAAAAAAAAGTTTTCTTGAGAATAAAAGAGCAAAATATCGACGTTTACGTTTTTAAAATATTATGATATTATTTAATCTATACATTGTCATGTGAGAATAGATACGGTAGGAAATACTGCAATTGCGAAATAAAATTGCAGATCATATAAAACACGTAAATTACCGATGCGCGATAAAATAGTAATCCAATTTGTCGGTAAAAGAAAATTTCTTTACCGATGCTTCAAAATCAATGTAGATACAATAGAATATATCACAATTGAATAGAAACCAAGGTCATGCTGTAGATTTCAAGATTGCATCGACATTGATTGTTTACATATTGTCTGTATGTCTACACTGTACTTTTTTTCAAGACAATGTAAGCTATGCAGAATATCATAAAAATTATTAAGTATTTAATTATATTTTATATTATATTTTATATTATATTTTTGGCATTGTTGCAAAATTGTTCGTGGCAAAATTCTTTAGAAAAAAAATAAAAGAGACTAAAACTAAATGAACACACACCAATAATTACACCATAAATTACGTATTGTCTATATAGACACATGTTAGACATTTTTTACATTGTCTACGCGTAAACGTAGGCTATTATAGTTTATGCGTAAACGCACAATCCTGATAAAAATTTACTTATAAAAACAATATTGTGATATTTATCATACTTTAATTTTATAATTTTATAATTATCAACATTTTCATACTTGACAAAATATCTATAATCTGAGAAATATGTGAAATAAACATTTGTTAAAACTTTCATCAAATATTCTTGTATTATTTTTTAGATTATGACATAAAAATTTATATTCTTGATTTTCTCAATAAACTTTTCCCTCATCAAAATTTATAAAATCAGTTTGCTATGATTAGCACGTAAACGTGCGACTTTCTATCTTCGAAAAAGCACGTAATTTTTCCTAAACACAAATAGATCATATTTTCAATGATTTTCAACTTTTAACACTTTCACGGCCGCTCACGTATTTTTACGTTTATATTTTGGTATAAATCAGGAGTCGGTCACGTATTTTTATGTTTATACTTCAGTAGAAGTCAGCAGCCGGTCACGTAATTTTACGTTTACTGTTTTTTGCATCATTGTATTAAGTCGTGTAATATGAAATGTCGGCTTTCGGTTCAATAAATAGAGCGGCTCCAAACGTTGAGCAGAACCGAATATATAACACTTGCGAAAGTGTTAATATTTTGATGAATTGTTACCAAACCCCAGTGCAATTTATAATATATAATATTAAAATATATATATATATTTATGCCAATATCATGTTTTTAAATCAATTTTATATGAAAGAAAAAAATACTACCGTAAAATTGTTTTTATAAAGCAATTAAAACATTCAAAGCATTAATTTTATTTCGACTAAATATATTGCATAAAATATTTTGTGACAGCATTTCTCCCATGTAAAATTATATCGAAAAAAAGTGAGCTATAAAAAGACTTGCAATATTTATACACAATTATTATTAGGTCTTGTAAAAAAAAATAAGTATCGATGAAAAATAATATACTCTCAAATATTATACTTAATGATATAAAAATTGTTAATTAAAGCAATAAGAAAATAGTAGAAATAGCTTTATATTAAAAATAAGTGATCAACTTACTCCTCGTGCATCCCTAAAGAGTATGGCAGCGTGAATCGGATCTAAACAAGCATCGGACGCTCTGTGAGGTATTGCGGGCGCTCCAAGGGACAACCTTCGTGCGGTAGGATCCAAGGAACTTCTTCTGAGTGCACCTGGAACAAGCGAATTGATATATACACTTATTACACAATTTGTAAAGCAGAGGGATGCAATTTTTCCATCAAATAAGAATGATTATTTATCGCATAATTAAACTACTAATATATATTTATCGAATTCAAACCATCGATCAACTTTGATCGATTATTCCATTATCGTCAACTTTTATAACAGACGTAATTAATCTAATTGTCTTAAGTTTCGATCGTAATAATTTGTGTAACATTAGACAATACGTGAACAGGCGCGCGAAATTTGTCATCATCAATTACGTGAAATGTGATTCGTTATTTACATTCCTACCACGAAGAAATATGATCGAGACCATGCCTGACTCATCAATTTAACCAATTAATTTTGTTATTAAACAAAAAAATAAAAAAATTAAATATTATAATTTCTTTCTAAATATATATTAACTTTCCCCCACAAATTTCGTGTAATTTGTCCAATAAATTTGTGTAATTATTCACCTTTTCAAAAGAAATCTCTTATAAGTTTCGCGCATGAGAATTAAATATATGTATAATATAAAATATACTGTTGTAACCACACACATAAATAATGAGCCGCTCAAAAGCCAAACTGACTAACTCTATTAAAACTCCATCAACTTATTTTATTTATGAAAAATTAAGCATCAATCATGTACTTTGGTACTAAAATTGGAAAAATTCCAAAAAGTGGAGTTAATCAGTTCGGCTCATGAGCGGCTCATATAATAATTTTATATGTAATTGTACACTAAAATTATAAATACACACGCGCGTGCGCGTATATACAGAAAGTTTCGCGCATCAAAATATTATAGCAGGAAAGTTCTTAAAAAAACAAAATTAAAAAAATGCAATTGTTCAATCGAAGCAGTTTTTGAAATACAAAAAATTAAAATGGCCAATCAAGCAAAAACTTTTTCGATTTAGTTATTTAAGAATTTTCCTGCTATATTTTGATTCACACTTTGTAAATTATATTATAAAAATTTATATTTTATATATATGTTATATAAACTGATGAAAATATTCTGTTTGGTTCAACGAACCATCTGTTCGATTCTCGACGAAATAGACAGATTCTGATTGAATCTACGAGAATTCTTATTAATGCAACAAGATTCTGATTGATGCAACAAGATTCTGATTGATTCAACCAGAATCGGATAGAATCAACAATCTGATTACAAACTAACCAAACCAGATTCCAACTTTACATAAGCTGAGACAGCTTGCTCACTTTTAATGAATGCTCAATATCGTTGAACAAGGATTTTCGATAGTACATCATTGTTGTTTCTCTTAAAATAGAAATAAAATTGAAATTTGGTGTTGTTACCCGCGAAACGTTTTGGCCTCGGTCCGGGGTCTTGGAATTTTGTTTTTCTCTCGACGAAGGACGTTTGCGCACGTTTCTGCGATTAAATCTGCTTCCTCAGCGCGAGACGTTCAAGCGATATCCCCCGCTTTATCGGCGGTGTTTATTTCACGAACGCATTTCGCGATATGCTCTCGCTTCAAGAATGAAACGGATGTTAGCCAGACGTTTGCAAATTGTTCGAATTGTTGCAAACGTATGCGATACAGAACGATACGCGAAAGCGATAACGAAATTGTATATCGTTTGAAAATTAAGTAGCGAATTTTTTACGATACACGCTACGCGAGATAAACGCGCTTGTTTCGCGTTTCGTTGCGGGGACTTCTAAAAGACCATAATCTCTAAACCAACCTCTAAAAGACCAATTATCAACAAAGCGTCGTATAGCGAAATAATTTAAGAGCAAATATAGAATTCTAAGAATTCTTAGTTTAACATTAATTTTAGTCAAATTATTATGACAACTTTATACCACTTTTAATAAATGCGACGTACATAAAGAGATAATAAGCCATTATATGCTCATCACATTCGTAATAACCATGTGACTAGGTCAAGGCAAAGCTCCCGTATACCGATAATCACCGAGCTTTATGGAAGCAAAGTTTGCAAGATCAATGATCAAGCGAATCGCTCCAAGCCAGAAATAGAATCATTCTAAAGAACAAAACGTTAGAGATAGGAAAAAACCTATGTCGTCACCTAAGTGACGACAGAAAGAAAAAAAAAAATGCATAAATGTTTGTTTGTATTTGGCCGTATCGGGAATACGTTGATATTACATTTTGCAAAGATAATGCAAAAAAATTCATCATGAAAATTCATATTAATTCCGCAATTCAAAGAGATTCTTTTGTTAAAAGCTCCTTATCTTTCGCTGCAGTCATATTGAATTACGTTGTCGGAGAAGCTAGAAGTCGTGTCAATTTTACTTTTACACTATACATACCGAATAAATTAGTTTTTTTTTCCATGTCACGTTCGTAGGTTGGTAAAAAAAAATACCAATCTATATATAGCTGTAAAATTTGCGTCACACGTTCGATTTTCGAAAAATATAAAATACATTCAAATTAAATTACACGTGTATTTACTAATGCAGAATAATAATAATAAAAAAGATAAATTTCAACATATTTTACAAATTCGCTATCAAATATGTGAGTTATTGCATATATAAAAAAGTAATATATTTCGAAACTACAGGGAAAAAAATCACACAATTTCTTGCTTCTGACGTCAAAAACCATTACGTGCCTGCACGTAAGAAGAAATAGAAGCTTTGAAAAAGAATAAATTTAAATTGTGAGAAAAAAACTAAAGCGTATTGTCGCATGTATTACGACCAATAATTATTTTCTTATATAATATATATTCACACTTGTAGATGTTAATATATCTACAGATTAATCTGTAATTAGATTTCCTGATCAAGTTTTGTTATTTGCGTATTGCTCACGCGTTTATATCACTCGTATTTGGATACAAAATTACAAAAACGCATATGTAACGCGGAACAATATTACGCGGATAGTCAATTTAGCGACACGCGAGAAAAAATTCCGTACGTTCCTGTAGTAGAGTATGAAAACATATTGCGCAACGAAATGCGACCGGAACATTGAAATGGTATGTTTGGCCAAGAGAGACACGATTGCCAATTATCTGATTGTTTTTTTCTTTTTATTCAACGCTCACTGGGCAATTATTAATCCTTATCTTTATTAACTAAGCAAAGCCGTTCAGCGTAAAAATAACAAGTAACGGGAGTGGAACGCAACCCATAAATGCGTATATATAAAATGCTCTTATGAAAACTAGCTAAACTATTATTTTGTAAATCGTTACACGATCCTCGCTGTATAAATAACTGTTATTTGCTGCAAATCATATTACATCATGGAAAAATGGCGCATTCGGTGGCGCTTCACTGCGGACTCAAACAAAGTCAACGACACATTCGTCCTTGTGAGGTTCGCGGTTCGCTTGCGTTACCTTGCCGGAGTATGCTTTCGTAGATTCTGTAGGTGGTCTCGCAATCGGCGTCCTGCGGATGGGTAGGATGATGCCTGGCGCCGCCGTCCAAACTCTGACTCCTGTTTCGGAAATCCTCCTCCCATTTCTTCGGGCTTTCATGGCTCTCGCTCTGTCGTCTGATGTGCCCCAGCCGTCTACCGAAGTGCCGTATCATCTCCTGTATGCCGTGATGATGATGGTGCTGCTTCTCCTGCTCGTTCGTCGGGCTCGGCGATGTCGGTGACGCTTTACCGCTGCTGTTCGCCGCCCGATGATGCGGATGATGGTGGTGATAGTGATGAAGCGAGTGATGATGATGGCTGTTACCGTGGTTCGCCACTGACTGAGGGTGATTGGACGAGTTTGAACCGTAGGACGAGCCGTAGGACGACGAGCCATACGAATACGCGGAGCTGACCGAGCCGCGGGACACGTATCGTTCGTGAAGATAAAGCTTGCTGCCGTCATGTTGCTTGTGGCTCAATAATTCCTGCAGAAACTTGGTGTCCTGGTTCCGGATGTCCGACGACGCGGATGAGATAGTGCTCCTGGTGTCGTCGCCATTGTCCGAGCCCGAGTGATGGTGGGACAAGAGATGACTTATTCCATGCATTACACGTAATGACGCGCGAAACGGATGGTATATCGGGAACAACAACCGTGATATCGACGCGGAAGCACTTTCCGCAAAGTTCCGGATTCATCAACGTCGCGGAATCTACGGAGAACGGCGTTGAGTGATATCGGAAAACGCGCAAAACTGGAGGGAAAAAAAGAGATAACAGTTCATCGATCGTCTCGTTTCCTCCTCGGCAATTCGGCGATTCCAAAGTTTCTCTTCAATTTTTCTAATAACTTCTAATAATTTTCCGTTTATTGTCAAGTATTTAAAACTGTCGAAGTTTATTATTAAGTATTTAAGAAATTAAAAGTACTTTTTAAAGTACTTAGGTTCTTTTCCTATAATGTTTTATATTTTTCGCAGTTTGTTTCTTTTATATACACACTGAAAGAAAAGTATGCGATACTTGAAACAATTAATCAGGATACTCATTTTTATAAGAACTGCTACTCTAATGTTAGCAATAATAACCTTATACGCATAGTTCTGCCAACAATATAACATAAAAATTTTATTGTAAATTTTAATAATAATAATAATTTAATAATTACAAATAATAATTAAAATAATAATAATTTTAATAATTTTAAATATAAATATCGTAAAATAATACGATACGTTAATATACGAAAATCTCGGTTTAGAATATAACAATCATACGATATGGTAATATCGTAATATTATAATTATAATAGTAGTATTGAATTAGCTACCATTTGCACAGCATAGCTACCGTTTAAACATTTATAAAAATTGGTTGGCACCAAAAAATGCCATAAATTATAGCGAGATGATGGTTATTGCAACAATTTTTTCTTTTGGTGAATAAAAAAATAGTAAATAAAAAAGTATTTACATGTGTTCTATTTTTTTCGAGAATTCTGGCATAAGAAAAAATTTACATACTACAAAATGATTTATTATTGAACTTTATTCGCTACAAGAGAATGGTATATTTTGATATATTACGTTTTCATAAAT